GGTGCTTGTTAGAAATGCAAATTCCAGATTCTGACCCTTGGTCACCCTTCTGGTGCCACCCTTGTAGCACAAATTCCAGCCAAGTAGTAGGTAGATACTACCTGTCATGTGGATCATGACAAGCTATGGACAACATTGTGGAGAATGAGTATTCTGGAACACTTAATTGTGCTCATGAGGAACCTGTACATAGACCAAGAGGTAGTTGTTCAAACAGACCAAGGGAACACTGAATGGTTTAAAGGGAACACAGAATGGTTTAAAATTAGGAAAGGTGTGTGCCAGGGTTGTATTCTTTCACCATACTTATTCAATCTGTATGCTGAGCAAATAAACCAAGAAGCTGAATTATATGAAGAAAACTGTGATATCATGATTGTAGGAAGACTCATTAACAACCTGAGATATGCAAATGATAAAACCTTGCTTGCTGAAAGTGAAGAGGTCTTAAAATAGTTACTGATGAAGATCAAAGACCACAACCTTCTGTATGGCTTGCACCTCAATACAAAGAAAACAAAAATCCTCACCTTTGGACCAATAAACATCATATAAATGGAGAAAAGATTGAAGTTGTCAAAGACTTTCTTTTGCTCTGATTAACCATCAACAATCATGGAAGCAGCAGTCAAGAAATCAAACAGTATATTGCACCAGGCAAATCTGCTGCTCAAGACCTCGTTAAGTGTTGAAGAGCAAAGATGTCAGTTTGAGGACTAAGGTGCACCTGACCCAAGCTGTGGTGTTTTCAATGACCTCATATGCATGTGAAAGTTTGACAATGAATACGGAAGACTATAGAAGAAATGATACATTTGAGTTTAGTGTTGGAGGAGAATATTAAAAGTACCGTAGACTGCCAAAAGAACAAACCAATCTGTGTTGGAAGAAGTACAAGCAGAATGTTCCTTGGAAGCCAGGATGGACACACTCGTCTCTCATACATTGGACATATTATCAGGATGGACCAGTTCTTGGAGAAGGATATCATGTTTAGTAAAGTGGAGTTTCGGAGAAAAAAGAGAAAGACCCCCTCCACACCCCCCCCACCCCCCAATGAGATGGATTGGCACTGTGGCAGCAGCAATGGGCTCAGGCAGAACAATGATTGTGATGTTGGCACAGGTCCGGGCAGTGTTTTGTTCTGTTCTGAATAGGGTCACTATGAGTCAGTACCAACTTGGTGGACCTAATACAACAAGTAGGTAGATATATAGGGGGGACAACAACAGTAGTAAGGTTTGCACACCATAGAAGGTTCAGCCATTCAAAATCGAAAGGACACCATTTACCTAGGGACAAAATTCTGAAAGGCTGGAAAAGAAGGTTGAATAAAAATATGAATCATGAAGAAGTATGATAACTGATGTTACATGGAGGGGATTCCAGTCATTGAAATGAAGTAAAGTATATGATTTGTTGAACTTAAAACTCATGCTCTGCTCTATAAACCTACTCAATGCTCAATAAGATGTTAAAACAAAAGAAAATCTGATTCCTGAGTCCTGTTTCTCTAGAGAGAATCTAATTGAGGTAGTCTTGGGTGCTTTGTAGGAATCGGCTTTTTAACCAGGATCCCAGGTGATTCTGATACCGTAGGTCTCCGAGTGGTGCTTGGAGACAAATGGTTCTAGTTTGCATGTAGTTCATTTGTATTGTAACATTAATCTTCTCAAAGGACTCAAAAGTGCATGTGTTGGATTGTGATGGTTTGAATCTTCTGCCTCCTGCCTGTAATGAGGGCTGATACCAATATAAACTGACATCTCCAATGAATTGCGTGGATAAGCTCTTACCAAAATTTTATCTGATTCTTGTTATATCAGTCTTTAGCCTTTTTTAAAAACATTTTCCATTATTTTCACATTGTTTTCTATAAATACATGACTAGCTCCATTTCTTTATTTTAAAAAATTGAGTAAGAAGTGTCACTAGTGTGATTTTTCTGGAAATCAGATAACAGTCTTGCGTTTGTGTATAATTGGTTAGTCAAGACCTGCCCACATGTACAATAATGTGAAAAACCCAGGCTGAAAAGCTGCCAGGCCTCAGTGATGTATTCCAATTACCGAAAAGACCACCAGAACTTCACCGTTTTCATAATGCACAGCCTGGGTCACTTGAAAAGAAAATAATGAAATCGTCTGTGCCAAGGTGAATTTTGGTTTGGACTTAATTTGTATTGCACTTCAGGAATGTGAGCAGAAGGCCAATATTTATATCAGATGGGAAATGTGGCATTTTAAATAGGCAAGTTGCTTGTATAATTCTGGCAGCTGGGAGGCTTACTGATTCGATTATGTTGTTATTGTTTAAGCAACAGATTTGCCTTGGGCAACAAGGAAGTGGGTTGCATATTGTTTTTATGCCTTCAACTTTATTTGTTCACCTTACTCCTTTTCATAAATAGTTTCCAAGATTCAGGAGCACGATTCCGTCTCAATATTTGGTTTATCTTTCTTGGAAGCTCAGGTGGAGAGTGAAGGATTTAAAAAAAAATTTTTTTTCAGAGGAGACAACTTTGTGCAGTGGTATTAAGCAGATGTGGCATTTTAGTGCCCCAAAGTTTGGTGTCTTCTGATTATTTGACATCAAGCTAGCCACATTTTTATCTCCTTTGAGTCTGAGAGAGAGGTGGTGTTAGTGCTGTTGAGTCAGTTCCTACTCATAGTGACCCTGTATAGGGTTTCCGAGGAGCAGCTGGTGGGTTTGAACTACTGACCTTGGGGTTCACAGTCCAGTGCTGATTCTACAGCACCATGCCAGGAGTCCTTTAGATAGGGCCAGTTATCCTGAACTTAATGGAACTGAGCATTTAAGTGACTGTCGTGCCCTGACTAGCTAACCTGAGCTGTTATCCAGCAGAATTATTATTTGGGATGGTATTACTTACCATTTTTATTCTCTTCCTCTCAGTTGCCTCAGCCTGCTCGCTGGCTAAATAAATGCACATGCCATTGGCTGATTGGCTGGTGAGTGTGCTTATGCTGTGAATGACTGTCTAGGGTGAGAATGGGTGCTCTTTCCTGCGCAACCATTGGCAGCCTCAGGTGGATTTCATTTTCAAGGTCTTCAGTACTCACCACATCTACTAATGGCTAAGTGCATACAAATGGAGGTGATTAGCTGCCTCTTCCTCCCCTTTCTTCTTAGATTTAGCTTTAACCCTTTCATAACCAAGTTATTTTCTGCT